CTGCAGCCCAACCCCCTGCCCCGCACCATCCGGTGAGTGCGGCTCTGCCTTCCCCTTGGGGGCTCCTTGGGAATGTTTCTGGAGGAGGGAATTGCCCTGTGAGATCCTGGGAATGCTGCCCCACAGGGCCAGTTCCCAGGATTTGTTTGAAATACTGCCCTGGGACCCCCTGGCTTTTTGCGCCCCCCCCCCCGACAACAAATCCGCCCGGGGCAGCCGAGCTGGGGCGGGGGAGTCCCGGGGTGGGCGGTTATCCCGGGACAGGGGTGACCCAGGGGAAGCGTGTCCTGAGGAGAGGAGGGCACAGCCCCAGTTCCCGTGTTCCCAGCCCGCTCTGCAGTTCCCTGGAGCTCCCTGCAAGGCGCGGGTCCCGGCGCGGGGGCCGCAGCCCAACCCCCTGCCCCGCACCATCCGGTGAGTGCGGCTCTGCCTTCCCCTTGGGGGCTCCTTGGGAATGTTTCTGGAGGAGGGAATTGCCCTGTGAGATCCTGGGAATGCTGCCCCACAGGGCCAGTTCCCAGGATTTGTTTGAAATACTGCCCTGGGACCCCCTGGCTTTTTGCCCCCCCCCCCCAGCTGCAGGGATCCCGGCTCAGGGCGGGTTCTGGGCTGTTCCCACTGCAGCGTGTTCCGGAACGGGGACTTGCTGAGCCCTCCCTTCCCAGTGCTGCTCCCCAGGAACACTCTGCTGCACTGGGACACGCTCCTGGCCACGCTGACAAGGAAACTGGAGCTGCAGAGTGGAGCTGTTCACAGGTGGGTGGGCAGACAAGGCCCTGCTGGCTCCTTTTTCCTCACACCCTGAGCACCAGCAGCTCAGGGGGTTCAGCTCCTTTTGCTTTTCAGTCTTTCCAGTCTTAAAATCAGGGCTAACCCTGGGTGCTCTGTGAGGAGGGATGATGTTGATCTGGTGAAAAAGCAACGAGCAGTAAAGCATGGCATAAAAAAGGGGTTTATAGCAAGAGAGAGGGGCTTCTATCCAACAAATGCAGCCTAACTTCTCACACACCTACTGACTGACCCCCAAGGGAAATCCTGCTGAGATCCCCAGCATCTCACTGATCACTGGGTGTGACATTTTGGTGTCCTTCCTTGATGGATCCTCTGTGACTTGTCTGGGTCCTTTTTGCCACTTTGCACGTGTTTGTTTCCACACTAAGGGGTTGGTCACAGTCTGTGACAGCTCCAAAGCCTTTGCTGTCTCTCCCTCGAGGCTCTGCAGGCTGGATGGAACTCAGGTGTCTGCTGGGGAGGAGCTGGTGAGTGGTCACTACTATGTGGCTGTGGGAAGTGAGGAGTACAAGGAACTGCCTTATCTGGAGCTGCTGGTGCCCCAGGACTCTGTGTGGTACGTAGACACTGGCTGAGAGGTTGACAGGGTCCTCTTCAGGGTGGTCTTCAGCTGCAGCCATCCTTCCTGGAGCCCTCCTGCTCAGTGCTGTGGTTGATCAGGTCTGAGAAATGATGTTCTGCCCCTTCAGGTGTCCTCAGTGCAGCAGGGAAGCCCTAGTGGTCCCACAGGGATCTCCCGGTGCTGCAGGTTTGGCACAGCAGGGAGGCTGTGAGGGCTCAGCGAGCATTCCCAGCCGCGGCCTGGGGGAAAACTTCCCTTGTCTCCCTGGTTTCCACGCCTGCTGGTCAGGTTTCTGAAGAACCACGTTTCTCTCTACGAAGTGTAAAGATGAAAGTCCCCACCAGGGGGAACTTAAGGAACGGGAAGACAACGAAAGCCGAGATTGTCCTCTGGGCAACTTCCCTCCTGGAATGTGGGAGTTACAGCTCCCGCTAAGATCCCAAAGGTTTTCCTGGCTTTTTTTGTGCGTGTATTACTTCTATCTCCACTCCTGCTCCAGAGAGTTGCAGAAGAATTTGCAGCAAAAGCCAAGATGCTGCTTCTCAGTCAGGTATTTATTCCACTTCATGGTTCTAGGAAGTAAGATCCTTCCTGGCCAGGTTGATTTTTTACACTAAAACTCAACTCCCCCCCAAACACAACTTGTTAAGCAGAACGTGCCTGTAGCCAGGAGAAGCTTAGAAGCTGGCAAGGAATAAATATGGGATTCCTAAAATGAGTGAATGCATAGATAGTGGGGTTTTTAAAGGGAAAATAGTAGTTCTGAAACCAAGAAAAATGTCTGTTAAAAACATCTGCAAGATGCTTGTTGGTGGTGGGTTATTAATGTTTTAACTTTTCATAAAGCCATTTAAGATTGATGTCATGGGATGAGTGTGTCATATTGCAGGTGATTCACAGTTCTGCCCAGGTAGGCTCTTGGGATTAATTAGAACTTCAAAGGAAAACAACTCCTTTGAACTTAAATTAAGAGAGAGCCCTGGTAAAGAGCTGGCTGGTGTTTCCTGATCCTCGGCCCAGTGAGGAGCTTGGGGTGTGGGTTTGTTCTGGGTGCTGGGGGGCATTTCTCAGCAGAGTGGGCCTTGATTGTCACAGTTCCCCTCTGCAGAGGGAGAAAATCACTGGGTGGTAAAATACCTTTGAATTTAATGTAAAGACCCATGTTTACATACCAAGGACTGGAAAGGAATGAAGGAATTTAGTCCCAGCATCTTCCTGCAGTGGCCAAGTGCTACATTCATAACTATTTCTTTCTCCCCACAAAAAGGCAAGGACAGCAGAGAAGCCAGAGAAGACTGTGGCAAGGAAAAGGGAAACCAGTGACACTGAGGATGAAAAGTACTGACTGATGTTTCCCTTGGCAGCAAAGAGCCCTGAGGAGTTCACAAGGAGACTGTGATTGGGGAGGGACAGTCAAGGAGCAGGTGACAAAGTTACATGAACCCTCCATCTCTGTGACCCCTCAGAGTGACCAGGCTTTTTGATTAATGAACAAACTCCTCAGATGCTCAGTTCTGGTAAAGAATTAAAATCTTCCTCCTTCCCTCATCTCTCGGGTGTGATGATGTGGCACAGGAGGTGGCTGCTTTTCTGAGCACCAGTTAAACTGGTTTGTGTCTGACCTTAAGAAGGAGGAATCACCAGCCTTTAGAACCAAATGCCTGCCAGGAAGTTTGTTCCATGTCAGGTATTTTTTATAAAGAGATTTCATCCCATCATTGTCCCTCTGACTTGGAATGCTTGGATAATGTTTGCAGCAACCAAACCTGTTCCCAAAAATAATCAGAGAATCCCAGACTGGTTTGGGTTGGAATGGACCTTCAAGATCATCCAGATCCAACCCCCCTGCATGGGCAGGGACACCTCCCACCAGACCAGGTTCCTCAGGGCCCCTTGTTTCTGTTAACCTGTTTTAGAAGCATCTGCCTGATTTAGGAGAAGTCACAGTAATAAAACAGCTCTTGCATTAACTCCCTCTATGCAAGGCTTCCTGTTGGCCCTCCCCTGTGTTCCTGATTAATTATAAGTGTAACACAGACTTTGTTCTTCTGTGACCTCCCTGGTATTTTAGTCTGGTAACTTCACCAGACAGAAGATCCCGTTTCCTTCCCTGGACACAAACTGTGCTGCTGTTGTGTCACAGGTGAGAGCTGCTCCACAAGACTCCAGGGAAGAAGAGGGATGTGGAAACCTCAGCCACTGCTGCTGAGCCCAGTGAGGCCCCTTGGCCATGCGAGGGGGGGCTCCTCACTTGATTCCTTCCAGGGAAAAACCAGCTAGTCCCACAAGATCCCATTGAACCATTTATTAACCTTTTATTATCCCTCCAGTGCTGAGCAAGACAATCCATCCTTGCTTTGAAACACCCACAGATGAAAAATCCCTTCACTGAAGACATGGAATGGGCTGCCCTGGCACCGCACCTCATTCCACACTGCAGCTCTGGGAATCCCATCCATGTTTCCATGGGATTTTGACATCCACGTGTCAAAATTCAGCTTCCTCAGCCCACCTGAGGCAAACAGTTTGTTGTGGAGGCAGAATCTCCCACCCGTCAGCCACAGGGGTTACCTTTGGGCAGGTTTTCTTCCTCCTGTTTCTCACCACATCTTGTTCAGGAAGCAGCCAGACAGAGCGTGATTCCCAGGAGGGTGAGAAG